CTGGAGGAAGGTGGGCAGGCTTTCCCCAGTCATGTGTTACCCTGCAGAGGGCAGGTGGGCAGGATTTTCCCCAGAGGAAAGTGGGTGGGATTTCTGCCAGAATAAGGTAGGTGGGATTTCCACAGCTGTGTGTTAAGCTGCAGAGGGTAGAGCTCTCCCAGCCCTATGTTAAGGAGAGTAGCCTGGAGCTTGACAGGGCATGTGAGAGAAAACCGAAGAGAAAAAAACTGAGCCTGTTGACAGGGGGTGGGGGGTGGGGTGGGGGAAGGGCTGAGGGGCAGGGGGAGGTGAGATACAAGAGAGAGAAACAACAGTAAAGATAGTAAAGATAAAGCTGAGCCCTGATCATCTGACCGTGGGGCTGGAGGGATTTCAACCTTGCCCAGAGGTGGCGGCAAGCTGTGGCTGAGTTGAAGTAAAGGCATTGGGCTTGCTAAAGAAGTCCAGCTCTGACCGAGACTGTTGAGAAGCTAAGGTTAAACCTTCGTTGGCCTCCACAGTGATAAGCCCAAACCTCCTCAAAACCTAGTGGATCTGTGCTACTTATCTTTTTGGTGCTCGTCCTGTGACCTGGCAGCATGGAATTTCCCTCTCAGCTGGTCTCCTGCGCTGATTTCTGTGGAGTCCCTGTGGTGTGTGTTACTTGGTTGCCATCTTGCTGGAAGTCCCTTTAACTTGGGTTTTATTGTTTTTGTTATTGTTGTTAGGTGCCATCAGTTTCGTTCAGACTCAGTGTGACTTTATGTGCGATGGAACAAAACACTGCCCTTTCCTGCGTTGTCTTCTCAATTGCTTTTATATTTGATCCAACAGTTTCATCCACTGTGTCTTCATCTTGTTTAGGTCCTTTTTCTTTATCACTATACTTCTATTTTATCAAGCATGATGTCCTTTCTCAGGAACTGATCTCTCCTGACAACTTGTTAAAAGTGTCTGAGATGAAGTCTCACCACCCATTCTTCAAGGGAACATTCTGGCTATCTTTTTTCCAAAAAAGATTAGTTTGTTCTTCTGGCAGTCTATGGTATTTTCAATATTCAATAGAAAAGACTTCAATAATTCCATATTTTCTTCAGTACACTCTCTAAACTAATAATAGAAGATAAGCCCATTTAAAAATGCACCCCTTGTGGCCTATTGTGGACTTGACTTTCCCATAATCCAGTCAAATTGCCTCTTTGTACTTCTATGGGTAAATGCTCTATTTCAAAAGATAACTGCTAGTGCTTTGACATATGGTGGATAGCATATATATGTTTAGATTCTATTGCTATACTTGTAAAACAAATAAGGTTAGAGGTCAGTGAAAACCAGGAAGAGTCTCAATAAGATGGATTGATGCAGTAGCTGCAACAGTGATCCCACTGTTGGAAAGATAGCACAGTCCTGGGCAACATTTTGATCTATTGTATACAGGATCACTGAGTTGGAGCCAACTCAAAGGCCCCTAAGAACAACATCCAAAATGTAATTCACTCAAGTCATGGTATTTTCAGTTGCCTTATATGCATGTGTAAGTTGGACAAGGAATCAGGAAGACCAAAGGAAAATTGATGCCTTTCAGTTATTTTGTTGATGATGAATATTAAATGTACCACAAACTGCTAAAAGAACAGATATCTTTGTCTTGGAGGAGTACAGCTAGACATACACCTGTGAATAATGCCAAGACTATTTCTCATGTACTGCAAACATACGGGTATTATCAGGGGAGGTCAGACCCTGGAAAAGGACATCACGCTTGGTAAAGGAGAAGCTCAGAGAAAAAGAGGAAAACTCAATGAGATGCATTGCAGCGTGATTGCAACAATGATGTTAAGCATAAGAATGATTGTGAGAACAGCACAGGGTGACAGTGTTTTTTTCTGCTGTACATAGGCTTACTCTGAGTCAGAATCAACTCAATAGCAATGAACAACTACATCCAAAATGCCAACATGATCACTTTAGCTGCACATCCAACACCTCAAATTCAATATGCCAGAACTGACCTTATTGTTACTACCAGCACCTCACTCGCATCCAAAAACTCTGAAAGAAAAAAACACCAAAAACATGTTTTGTTTTCTCAAGTGCCCTAAGTCAGTGATTGGCTGGATCCTTCACATAATTCAATTTTACAAGCATTGAGTTCTATTGTTATCTGTCCTTCTAGCTACTCTCTATAACCTGTCAGTTGTAAGTGCTAACTATTCCTAAATTTTCTCTTGCATTATGCTTCTGACCTTTGTCTATAATAATGTGTAGATTGCTTCCTAAATACCGAATGTCGTTAGTCAAATCGGTCTTTAATTTATTCTCTTTATAGAAATAAAATTAATCTATTTATGTTGTTAACTGATTTTTGTTAAAATCAATTTATTGGGGGATTGTACAACTCTTATCACAATCCACACATACATCCATTGTGTCAAGCACATTGTTAACCGATTCTTTGCCATGTGTCAAAAATATTTCTACAGAATCCTTAGTGCTCTCTGGATAAAATCTAAAATCTTTAGCATAGTTTTATCAATTATTACATGTGATTTCTAATGACTGTTTCTCTGCAGAAATCATTTCTGTCTGGTTTATTTCCATTCCTAGAGCATGGAAGACAAAATATAGGAATACACATATTGAAACAGATAACACACAATATTTGAAGTTCCATTATTAGTCTATAAAAAGAGCAAAGTACCAGAGTCATGCACTCATTCCGTATGCACACTTTAAGGGTGGATGAGTGGGAGGATTTATAGATGAAGAGGCTGAGGGGAAACTTAGTTAAAGCAGAAGACTTTACATTTGCAAGAAGGATTTATGAAAAATAATAATGGAACAAGTAAAGCCAAAGTTAATTTGTCATTCTTTCAAGACATGTCAAATAAGTTAATTTAGAATTGCTATCCTGTCACTCATAAGACGTATTTGAAAAATTAAAACTTTTCATAACATTTCAGTTTCATAGAATAATCTTAAAAAGAAAAAAAAAGATTAAATAGTTGATGGAACTTTGAAATATTAAATTAAATTTAGTGGCCAGTCAGTCAATTCTGATATAGTGACCCTGTAAGACAAAGTAGAACTGCACCAGGTTGCAAATCTTTATAGCTTCAAACTGACACCTGTTTCGTCTGTGGAGTAGCTGATGAATTTGAGCCTCAGACCTTTCAGTTAGCAACGAAGCACTATAACCCCTGAACCACCGAGGGTCCTTACAGTTACATAATGTGATCATTATTTTTAATTAACATAATGAGGATCAGAAGTGACATTAAGAGTCTCAAAAGCTTACTAAAGATAAAATGGATCAGGTTTACTTTACATACTGTCATTGAATCTTCACTCTCATTAGAAGACAGAATGTTAGGAAGGCCCATAATCAGAACTCATAAGGAAAATCCCCTGCTTCCTGTAGCTGTGCAACAAACCACCAATAAGCCTCATAACTTAAAACAACAGCACTTTTCTTTCTGAATAATCGTGATTCTATGCACTCTGTTTGGTCCTCGGGCTCCATGCCTTGTAAGAAGAATCACTCAAGCAGTAACGCTCATCTGTGAGGTAAGGCAGGGGAGGACAAAGACGCCTGGCTTTTACCACCCTCCAGGGTCTTTTTCACATGACCACTTATGCAGTTCAAGTATCTTTATAACCTGGAAATTAGCTCCAAAAAGGACAATTTATCCCAATTTTCAAGCACTTAAAAACCTTCTGTTTGCAACCCCCAAAACCAAGCCAACAACCACTGAGTCAATTCAGTCTCATGGCAACCTTCTATAATTAATATAAATAAAATAAAGAGCCTTTCTCTTGAAGAGCTGCTGGTGGGTTTGAACCACTGACTATATGGTTAGCAGTCCAATGCTTAACTGACAGTGCCATGCTGACTAAAGTCTCATTGATCAAAACAAGTTGAAGGACCCACAAAAGGACCGGTGGAAGAAATAGAAATAGTATATTAGTCACTATTGATTTAAGTCTACAGCGTGCACACACAGAGCAAGCAGTCAAGTGAATACTCTGCAGAAGTTAAGAAAGTGATCTGTCTCTCTCTCTCTCTCCATGGTTAAATCACTTTTGTTTTTTCAAAACTATTTTATTTGGAGTTAATACAGATACCATATCATTCCATAGTTCAATCACATCACGCAGTATCATACAAATGCTGCCACAATCAATTTCAAATCATCCTTTTCCTTTCTGAAATCCTTGACATTAGCTCCCTTTTACACACGGCTCCTCCCACTATTCGTCCCTCCCCCACCCCAGAAACCATTACTCTACATGCTGTCCCCACAGGTTCATTTTCTGGGGTTTCATATGCTGAGAACAGAAAAGCCTAACACAAATTAAGAGGGTTCCCCAATGATAAGATATCTGAGCTAAACCCTAAGATGAACCACAACAACAAAATACAGAAAATGTTGAAAACCAGATCAGGCCTAATGTGCATCAGAGGCATGATCAACTGACAAGGTTTTAACCGTTCAAGTCAGGTCTATCCTTTGATCTTCTATAGTTCTCTCTCCAATGAGCTCTGTTTGGTAACCTCTTTCCTCCCTCCATAGCCAAACTTCTGTGTAATTATGAGCAAGACTTTTAAGTCAATCCATACAAAACTTAGAATAATGTCTAAAAAAACCTTTTAAATGTTCATGTTTAATAAATGCTAGTTATCATTGGGCTACTAACTGCAAGATCAGCAGTTTGAAACCACCGGATGCTTTGAGGGAGGAAGATGAGGCTTTCAATCAGTATTGATTAAATGAAAGTAAACTTTTTGCTTTTAGTTACCATTATTACAGTTACTAATAGTAATATCAGATATTCTCCATTGATTCATATTGTAATTATAGAAAAAGAGGAATGCATGTATCTTTATTAATGGTAATTTTCCATGTTTTTGAGTGAATATATATGAGGGTGAGTGACTCATAATTACTAAAATGGGTTTGATTCTTGATTCAGTCAGAAGTGATTAATCAGTGCCTCACTGCATTTGCCTTTGATTGCAGGTTCCGAAGTGTTGTCTACCCCTTTAAACCAAAGCTCACTATTAAGACAGCATTTTCCATTATTGTGGTCATCTGGGTCCTGGCCATCACCATTATGTGTCCATCGGCGGTAATGTTACATGTACAAGAAGAAAAATATTACCAAGTGAGACTCAAGTCCCAGAATAAAACCAGCCCAGTCTACTGGTGCCGAGAAGATTGGCCGAATCAGGAAATGAGGAAGATCTACACCACCGTGCTGTTTGCCAATATCTACCTGACTCCCCTGACGCTCATGGTCATCATGTACGCAAGGATTGGCGTCTCACTCATCAAGACAGCAGTCCCGCACAGGAGCAAGCAGAACCAGGAGCAGTGGCACGCACTGGCCAAGAAGAAGCAGAAGGTCATTAAAATGCTTCTGACAGTGGCCTTGCTTTTCATTCTCTCCTGGCTGCCCCTGTGGACTGTCATGATGCTCTCAGACTATGCTGACCTGTCTCCAAATGAACTGCGTGTCATCAACATCTACATTTACCCCTTTGCCCACTGGCTGGCCTTTTGTAACAGCAGTGTCAACCCCATCATTTATGGGTTCTTCAATGAGAATTTTCGCCGTGGTTACCAAGAGGCATTTCAGCTTCACTTCTGTCAAAGGAGAGCAAAGCCCAAGAAAGGCTGGCCTCTAAGCGTGAAAGTGAACAGCACCATCAACACATCTAATCAGTTAGCTCAGGAATCTACCTTTCAGAGCACACTTGGGGAAAATGTGCTTTATAATAAAAGTGCTGAAAAACCCAATCAGGAATTAGTAATGGAAGATTTGGGAGGAGCTTCCAATAACAGTGGGTTCAAAAGAGAGATAGTGTGATTATTCTATCTCTACTACGTATATATATTGAAATAATGTTGCTTCCTGTGGCTTTGTGCTTCAATTATTTCTGTGAATGTTGTGAAGAAAGCATTTACTGAACAACCTCCCTAGGGGAAAAATGTAAACAAAATCTTATGATTATAACCAATCTTGGTGTATATAAAATACATAGTGACTTGTGTATATGGGTTTGCTGAATAAATCCGTTCTCTGGGAAATGATTTCCAAGTCTGACCCTCTCAGCTTAACCCTTTGTGCATGAGTTAGGCGCACAAGCATATGAAATGATATACACACACATACAAGTGTATATGTGTGGATACAAGTAGGGCATACTTGCATATGTGTGTAGGTACTTGGTGTTTATAACCAAAGGATGATGTGTGAGCTATGATCTGCATGACAGTACATAAAATAAGGCCCCCTGAAGCTACCGTAATTCTGGACTCCGGATCGTAGTTGCAGGCACCGCCGTGCAGTTCACTGTTGGCTGCAGTGCAGCCAGAGCAGACAGGAAGTGCAAGGTCTCTTTTAATAAAACAATAAATGTGTACCATATTCTTTTTCATGGAAAAATAAGATATCACCTGAAAATAAGACCTAGCACATCTTTGGGAGCAAAACTTAATATAAGACACTATCTTATTTTCAGGGAAACAGGATAGAAGTGTTTATTTGTTTAGCTTTGAAAATGTGGATTTCATGAAGGTATTTGCTACTACTTTTTGTCATCTCCCTTAATTTGTTTGGCTTACTCTGGAAGCAAGATTTTATCGGTCTTTTGGGAATCATTTCACAGGTGACCCCACCTTTCCAATTAGAACCGCAGGAGCAAACAAAAGGGCACCAGAACTCCCTCGTGTCTAACAGACATTTGGACGTCATAGAGAAGCAAATCTTTTAATAATGTGGCATTTGGCAAGAAGAATGGAAGCTTAATTTTGAAGTCCTTAGACAGAGATGTTCAAAAAGAGCAGTTAACTCAGGCAGTGGTGTGCTGGTCTGATCACCAGGGAGAAAGAGGAAGTGGCAGGGCAGGAAGAGTCATTTATCTTGGTCTCCCTACAATCAAGCTGCAATCTGATTGAGAGATTAAACTCTACCCATAAAACTCTCAAAAAGTATATACAAAGCAAATCCAATGATTTCAGATTCCTACCGGATACAACATTCACTCTTGGTTTCCCTGTGCTACAATTATGTAGTGATAATACCTATAACTGCTTCTTTTATTACAGAGAGATATAAGACCATAGAAAATCAGAAACTATAAATTAACATATACTCTGACAACAGTATATCTCTAAGCTTTTTCCAGGTTTTTGTATTTTTGACTATTATTTTCCATATAATTTTGGGTCCCCAGAGCCTAATACCATGCCTGGCATATAATCAAAGCTTAGTAAACATGTATTAACAAAAACCATTTAGAACTCTAGAACTTCTTCTGAGTGATGGTCAGAATCAGTCTTTATTGCTAAGAGTGAAAATAAATGGGACACATTCCCATAAACTAATGAGATATGCCACAGTTTTAAATGGGGAAAAAACTTTAATGAAAAGTGTTGAGAGCCAACCTCTGTATTACAAATGGATTAAAACAAAGCAAGAGCAAAACAACAAAGAAAAACAGACCTCCGAGTCAATTCAAGTGTATGATGGCCCATATATGTCGGATGGAACTGTTGCTCGATGATTGCTTTTCCAGAGGTGTGTCACCAGGCTTTTCTTCTGAGCATTGAAAAGCTTCTCATGGAGTAAGGAAGCAGGAAACTTTGGGCCAGTTTCAAACTGAATTGTCTGAAAGAAAGATAAGTAAAGGGAGTCAAAGTGAAAAAGATGGGAAGGACATTAAATTTTTTTGAAGTTTTTCAACATTGTAGGCCCTTGAGAAATGAATTTTGAATTTCACTGAATGGAGTATAATTTGAATACACAAGTGTTTTTTCCTACCGTGATGGATTTTTGGTGCCAGCGTGGCTCCCATGGAAACATATGGGTAGAGTTCAATCTCTCAATCAGATTGCAGCTTGATTGGAGGGAGACTAAGATAAATGACTCTTCCTGTCCTGCCACTTCCTCTTTCTCCCTGGTGATCAGACCAGCACACCACTGCATGAGTTAGCTGCTCTGCCTCATCTGTGTGCTGCACTACCTGTGGGCCAACCCAACCTGTGAAGCATGGTGAATTCTGTGGTGCATCACTAGGTCTTCAGGCTCCATTGTGAACTGCTTTGCTATGCTGCTGCTGCGGCACAACTGGTCTCTGCTACCCCCCTCAACATCTCATTTTCCTGCTGTTGCTGCCCCACTTTTGCCATGTTTCCTGCCTGCAGAGTCTGTGCTTATCTTGCCTGTGGGAAGACTCCATACCTCCAGCCACTCCATTGTCTGCTTCCTTGACCTTGGACTAGCAGGCTTACATGAGTACGAAGGACCTTCGGTATATTAACTGTTCCACCAAAGTGAGTTGAATTGAGCCTTCTGTCCTGTTGTGTGGACTAATCAGCTGTTGTATTCCTTTTCACTATATATATAAAATAAGTGACCTGGTTTTGTTTCCCTAGAGAACCATGCCTAACACACCTACAATCACTGAAGGGGACATTTTGAAATTTTGGAAATAGAAATTGATCATACATTCTTATACTCTGATTTATTGAAATACCATTTATGGTTAGGAAACAGACATTTAAGGTTTCTTGGATTGGGATTATCACTTTCAATAGAAACTTACCTGGATGAATGTTCTACTTGGTCCTGAAACGCATCATAACTAAATCACATGCCCGTCTATCATCTATATTCCTATTTTCACTTTCAATCCTTAAATAATGGCAAAGCCCTCCCTTCTGAATCATGTTCTGCCATCAGTCTGTCTTTTGATGATTTATTTATTTAGCAGAGGAGCCCAGGTGCCATAGTGGTTGTGCGTTGGGCTGTGATTGCATGGTCAGCAGTTCAAAACCACCAGCAACTTCAAGGGAGAAAATTGGGTTTTCTACACCAATCAACGGTTACAGTCTAGGAAACCAACAGGGGGTAGCTTTGAGTCAGCAATGACTACATGGAAGTGAACTTGGTTTTTGGTATATTTCAGAGTCCTGAAGTGCCAAGCCAATTTTCTGTTCCTTAAAAAAATGCCTGACGAAACTCTGCTGATTAAAACAAGTCCAGATGCTCCAAGCCAGCCTACGATGGCCATACTTGTGTCTCCTGTCTACATCTGCCACGCAATTTTTCTTCCTCAACTCCAGTCGAACAGAGATGTTGGCCTAGACTGTTCTATCCGTTCATCTATTGTTTCTTCTCAGCTTCATTCCCCTATCTATTCTTTGTCCATGATCTATTCAAAAGCCACCTCTCACAGAAAGCCTGTCAGCATTCGTACATCACTCCTTTAAGTGCTGTGCACCTCTTTGGTGAAAAATACCTTTTATTGAGATTGTTTCTTATTATTGTAATTAGAACATAAACTCCTCAAGCACATAACAAGTTAGGTCTCACTCAGTTTTAGAGACCATATGGGATGGACAACAATAATAGACAATTAATAAATACAAGAGACTTCAAAGTTCATGGAAAATAGAAGGAAAAGATAATGGAATTTTTTCCATAAACATTTTGAAGGTCTCTTGTATATGCTAGATGCATCCTATAGGCAGTGGTCATCTTCAACTTGAGATTTGAATATAATCAATGCTGGGTGAATGGTAATCTGCATACAAATTCCAGCACGCCTATTAAATACAAATAGAAACCTTAACTGTAAAGTAGAATATCAAAGATAAAAAATAAAATAGAGCTAAAATATAAAATAGAGCATGCATCTAAAAAACAAACAAACAAAACAAAACTAGACATTATTGGGTCCGCTTTGACTCAGAGCAGCCTCTAGTGGACTGAGATTACTTGACATGGCTCTTCTACCCAGAGTCTTTGTAATTCCCACCAAATGATTGCGTGAGACCAGATAAATGTGGTGAGTTGCATTTTAATACAGGAAATTAGTCAGTTTTGCCATTCTTCTGAGTATAAGTGAGTCATCTCAGAAGCAAGAAAAGAAAGACCATTAAGAAAAAAGAATCATTAGAGGGGGCTTCATGAGCTCCCTGCCTGAAATGGTAAATGCATCAGAGGCACCAGAGCCTGCAGCATCTAGCTCATGAGAGGGAGCAGAGAAACCACACCAACCTTTCTGGAGAACAGAAAAGCAGCAATGTGACCTTGAAGCACAGTGACAGGGAGGCTTCATGGGCTGAGGGGCAGAAACCAAGGGATGGATCACATGGCTGAGAGACTGAGAACTTGAGAGACTGCCTTCCATCATGGCTAAGAAGTACTGAGGACAAAAGAATTATATCCTTATTTTATTGCCAACTAGCTTTCCTAAGAACCCTCCATAATTCTGAGTATTGTTTGTAAATTCGGTGTGGTCGTTGCAATAAATAAACCAAGCAGAGAACAGACTGTCATGGGATGGATTGTTGGTGTCACAATAGGGTTAAAGGATGCTGGACAGTGAAAGGGTGTCTGACATTCAAAACTTCTACCGAAAAACAAAAATTGCACAAGTTCCTCTACAAAGAAAGAAAAATCAAAACAATTCAAACCACATATTCCAAATAACGCTTGGATCAACACTTAGGACAGAGATCTTTGTCAATAGTGGTTTTCCCTTGAAGAAGATTTTTTGAAGGACTATTACTGGTAAGGAAATTTTTGTAAAACTTTTGATAGTTTCCAAAACTTTTGCAGGTGAGACAACTGCTAGGTTGTTATTAGTCTGGTTTCTTCATTATCCTATAATGTTTGTTTATTTTTCTGGTGCATATTTTGGGGAGTTGTTGCCTTTTTCATTAATGTATACTCTTTATTTTTTTCGTACAACAAGCAGTATTATCATTTTTAAATCATAAATGCCATTTCCCTACTTAAAATCCATCAATATTTCCATTTCAAATTAGAAGACATACATTTTTACCTCTTCTGCCCCTTGACCACCTCTTAACTTCATATCCAAGTCTATACTCATCATTCACAATTCCCATATCATTTGCACATTCTTTGCTGCTTCTAGGAGCCCAGTGGTGTAGTGGTTGCACATCGGGCTGCAATACACATGATCAGTGTGGTAGTTACATAATCAGGTGTCAACTTGGGAAGAGGTGGAGTCTAGCCTGTCAAACAGGTTGCAGCTTGATGACTTCATGTGGAGGCA